ATTAAAAAAGACGACGTATTTCTTTTTATCCAACAGCAATTAGATGAGCAAAGTAACGCATGCACGCGCTTCGAAGCAAACGATAAAACATCCTTGCTAATGCATTCCGGAGGGCAACAACAACAACAAATCTGAAAGAAATAAAATAAATGCCTAAGAGAGATACGCATGTTAAACGGTCTAAGTATTTTTATTCCATCAAAGAGGAGTTGGAAGAGGGCGCTTTTTTTTTTTTTTTTTTTTTTTTCTTCCCTTTTTGAGTTGAGGCATAGGAATGAAATCTAAAAAGTCATTCAGCTAAATTTGTTGTCAGTTAATCTTCTTGTCACGATAGCAATGCACTCCCTTTTTAAGTGCGAACAAAAGTTCTCGTCGCCGCAAAATCCCTAGACAAAAATGTCTTCAGCTGACATTGACATGAACTTCCTGGATGCATTTTACATAACTAGTGACCAGACTACATGCTGGATGCCCTAAAATGTACAAGCATTAGCATACAATTCACTGATAAAATCAGTGAATGGAGAATTTTTTATTTTTATGACCATAATACAACGCACACTTTTTTTAAACGGATATATATATTTAGCACAAAGGACAGTTAGCCCAGAACGGATATTATTCTCAAAACGCGATTTTGCGTTGAATCACTATAAAAGTCTGAATCATTTTTCAAATTGCTGCCACCAAATATTATCGCCCTGTATTATGTTTAAAAAAATTAAATAATGAAGAATTTGCATGAATGAATGCATGTTTCTCGCACTGTGAAAGAACAACGGTACCTAGAGCCGTCCAGTTTTGAATAACTGACCACTACACCACAAAGGTCTTCCACCCGAATATAAACCACCCGAATTTGTAGTCTTCCACCCGAATATAAACACATAGAAAGCCGATTTTTTAATTTCGAATTAGTTTTATTGTCTATTTCCTATTTTGTAAAACGTTCACAAACTTTTGATTATGTAACTCAACGATTTCAAAGTGAGCAATGGCAACACTGTACAGGGAAGGAAAAAAAAATTTTCCCCCCTCTCCAGCGCGTGAGACTGTGTATCGGAAATTTTAAAGATATGCTGCTTTTAAATATTTTGTGATATTGCTGTTGAGTTGAATTTTATGAGGTTGAAGTGCGAAAAACATGATATTCAATAAATAATGGTAGCACACAGAACTTTTTTTTAGGCGTTTTTGGGCGTAATGTAAAAACTGAAAGCTTTTTTTTCTTTTCCGGACTAGAAGAATTTAAAATAGCATGGCAGCGCTATTTTTCTAATCCATAAGTTATTTGTGAATTAATTTACTTTTAGAATATGAAATTTAAATTGCCAAGATTGTTTTGCATTTTATAGACGAAGTAAAATTAAGACTTGTTACTTTATTTGTTTTTTTCATTTTTCTTATGAAATTCATTTCTCTTTTCATTTATCTTACGCGTTTTTCATCTTATTTCATCATTTTTCTTTCATTATTTCTTTTCTTTCATTATTTTCGAACTTTTCTTTCATAATTCTCTTTTCATTTTTCTTACGTTATAAGGTATTTCTCCCTCCTTCTTAGCATGCCTTTGTGGTGTAGTGGTCAGCAAGCTCGACGCTAATTCAAGAGGCCCGTGGTTCGAGTTTCGGCCAAGGAGTTGCTCATTTTTCACCTCTCCTTCGAAATAACTTAATGTCCCTACAAGGTGTTTTTCATTTTTCTTATATCCAGTGTGGTCTCGATTATCCAGGTGCGGATTATCCGTGCAAGGCTGTGCCATCGCACGTACATTTAACGTTTTATGAATGTACATTCAACGTTAAACGTGAGAGACGTGTAAAAAGCAAACACGCGTGAGACGCACATGCTCTGAATTGCGTCTGCACATTTAGTTCCAATGATTACCTCGTACTCTTCGAAGTTCCGGAAAAGTACAGAATTTAACGAAATTCAAGAAAAAGTTAAATACATATTGGGTATTGAATCAGTGTTATAGGTTTTACTTTCGACCAAGCTTTTGCTACTCTGCATAGTTAACTATATTGGGTGGTAAAACCTATAACCCTGATTCAATGATAGAAAAAGATTATTACAGACATTGGAGATTATCTAACTAAAAAAGGTCGAAGCAATAATTGATGGCGAAAACTGAAAATTCAAAATTCTTCGAAAATGTTGATCGGGAAAATATAGAATGATTCGATGGCATGAACCGGGGTTTTATATTTGAATGATGCGGATATCGTTTCTAATGCCATAAAAACAGAAGAAGCGGAGAGTAATACTGAAAATTTCGAACGAAGAATATACTGACAATTAATTGCATTAATTCTGAGACAGCAAGGACTTCTGCTGTAACTCTATTGGACTTCGTCGAGCGAAAAGGGATTCTAATTCAATAATAACACATTTCGAAAAATGCGCAGTAAAATTCAAAAAATATTTGTATGTTGTTAAAAACAACGTAAATTGACTGATTAAGAAATAAACACATGCAATATATATGAAAATTGATAGAAATCTCACGTAGTCTTACACTCTAATATGGGCATCTTAAAGCCCAAATTTGGAATTTGTTTTATTAACTATTTCATATTTTGTAAAACTTTCACGAATTTTTGATTAACAAACTCAACGATTACAACGAGAGCAAAGGCAACAGTGTACAGAAAAAGAGAAAAAAAAAAAAAAAAAAAAAAAAAAAAACCCTCCAGCGGGCGAGACTGCGTATGGAAATTCCAAAGATATGCTGTTCTTAAATATTTTAATAACTGAATTTTATGGTTTATGTGCGAAGAACATGTTATTTAATAAATAAAGGTAACGTACAAAACGTTAAAAAAAGAAATATATTTTAAAAAACTAATAAGCTAAATATGATACATAAATTAGAAAACTCAAAACTTTTTAATGTGAATCTTTGAATCAGCCGAATTCGTAACGATTAGCAACAATAAAATTAAAGAGAAGACTGAGAATGCCACAGACTTTCTTTAATAGTCTCATTTTATTATTAAAATAATAATTTAAATGCTTTACTTAAAAAAAAAAAAAAAAAAAACAGTATGCTTTGTTTGACAGAAATAAAAATCTTTTTTCTTAATTGTTGTTGTATCTTAAGTCTTTTCTCTCAAAATAAACGAAAAAAAAAAAAAAAAACTCAAATATTTTCCTTCAATGTATGATGAAAAATAATTTAAATTTGAAAACTTTTTTTTTTATTCTTCCAGTTTCAAACTCCGATCATGTCTCTGTTAATTTCATACATAATACATGTTTTGCTAATTTCACTGTTAATTTCATACATAATACATATTTTGCTAATTTCACACTTAAAACATAGTTTGCTGATTTCACATGTTTTTCCATACATTTTGACACGTACTTAAAATATTTTTACATGACTTCTCTTATCATACGTACCACTTCTAACACCAAACACTCTGAGGAGATTTCTTTCAACATACGCTAAATCATACAAAGATTACGAGCACGGTCAATGTTTGCAGAATATTCATTATATAAACAAATACAAAAGTTCAACATCATTGGCCACTTCAAATCGTCCATAAAAAATTTATTAAAAAAGACCTGGTTGTTCTCCTCTCTTGATAATGCAAGAATATCAGCCAAATCAAGCTCTACTCTTATCTCGGAAAACATCCATTTTATACAAGTTAATTTTTATTTATTCATTTATTAGAGCGAAAAAGAGAAGCGCCTGGTGAACGTTCCCCTTCAAAAAATTAAAAGAAAATTAGCCTAGCCCCCAAAGAATTAAAATACGATTTTAAACTTATTCTCGTACGTATATAGATATATGCGAGTAAAAATTATTTGAAAAAAGATTTAATTATCTAATTATTTATAACGGCGGTCTCAAACTTGCGGCAATAATTAATAAATAAATAAGTGAGCAATATTACAAAATATTAAAATTTAATAAAAGAGTTTGAAATGATGTATAAATTGGAAACAATTTATTATTCGCACTAGATTTCACTTTTTTTTTTTCGGGGGGTGGAGGAACTAGAAACTACTTACAGCGGCGCAAACACAAAATTGGGTATTCTGGATCGATCTCACATCGCTTCCAAAAGTAACCACACCTCTTAAAACTGACATGGTTAATGTATGTGTACCATTTTCATAACACTGTTCCATATGTAAAAGCATTCTTCATATTAAGTAAATGTTTATACAGGTCTCGGAATGTAGCTGCGGACAGTTACAAATGCAATTTCAAATAACATTTCTGGCATCCACCAATTTTGTTTCGTAACAAACGAAGCTCAACAGCAAAATGTGCTGTTACTTCTGCCCTGCTCACTTCAGCCCAGGTACATCCTGGAATGTATTGTAACGTCAGTACACCCGTGACGGGTGAAAGAAAGACAGGTTGTCTTTTAAATTATTTATTTATTATTATTAAAACATAAAAATAAACTGATCATTACAGCCCTAAATGATACAATATCCGCTAACGCAGATTGGACGCAAAAAAAGCGTCCTTTTTACTGTAGTTACAGCATAAAAAAAAACTATTGTTCTACAGAAACCACTGGCGTGGTTTAGAACGTAAAAGATGCGTCCTGTCACCTCAAAATCACACGAAGAACTCTTACACAAAGATTTCACTCGTTTTGTTATCTGCGAAGAGAAACATAATTAGTTCCTTGTGTCCGGAAACTCCCAGGGGGTTTTATCTGCAGTCCTGCTTTTTGCAGGTACCGTCCATTTCGTCCGCGAACAAACAGGAAGTTATAATTCAGCACCTGTGCCCGCGGGTGCTAGTAGCTGTATCGTCACAGTATAAAACGAATAAACTGTTACCCCGGAATATATGAAACCTCAGTCAACAAGTCGACGAGGGAAATGCCAAAAAGCATAAGCTTGGATCAGGTCGGCAACCATTATTTCCTAAATTAGAAAACATCATTTGTGAATGGATTGCTGACAGAAGAGCAAGTGTTTGGTTGTTCGCCGGGCTGATATTCAAGTATCTGCCCTACCAATAGCACCACAGCTAGATTATATCACCTTTGCGTGTCATCCTTGCGCAGAGGCCATGCTAATCTTCTCTGTATCGTTCAAATTTTAGTATATGTACTGCCAAAGCAAGTACAGACGAATTCAAAGCATCATAACAGTAGATGAATGGCTTCCTCCAGCGATGGGAACTATCTCTACGACGATAAGCAACACTATTCAAACTGGAAGATACTGAAGAGATTAAACGGGCACTTATATTTTTGGTTTCGTTGATTAAACCGACGACTTCTCTAAGTACCAGCGCTCGAAAATGATTGCTATGGATGAAACTGCAATGCTTATGTGTCAAGTGTCTCAAACTACCATTGATCAGAGGGTTGCCTCTGCGATATACATTCCCTCCACTGTTTACGAAAGTGCACGCATTGCATATATTTTTTTTTTATTTCCTCTCGATGGAAAGACCCTCCCCGGCAAAAAAGAGGAAAGCGAAAGTGTTTCAGGTATTTATGTTCTTGAGACTGAAAAAGCTTGGTGCACACAAGCAGCAATACAAAGTAGGTCGATTTATTTCTACCACTTGCTTTTGCGAGGTGGTCAAAGAGCCATGCCAATGTAGGATTTTATCAGCACTCACTGCGCTAAAATCCACGAAGAACTTCAGTGGAGAAAGAATTGATCAAATAATGATTTTCGCCGGAAGGACTGCATATAATGACTGTAAACTCTTGATATTGCAACAAACACTTCATTTAAAGCCCATCTACGCACAGAAATCAATGACTACATTAAAAATAGAATACGGATAAATCAATAAGCAAACTTTATGAAGCCTAAGTTACAAAATATTGTTACATGGGTGAAGAATGCATGGGATAAAATAACGGACAGCTATGTTTGCCATGCCCTACGAGCAGCCTACAAGGGGAACTCATTTCAGAAGAACTCTGTTACTCAACGTGACAGTCTAAGGCCAATGGTCTTAGAGGAAATGAAGTCGCAAAAAATTAAAGACGGAATTCGTGATTTGTAGCTTTATGACGATGTTCCAAAAGAAGACGATATGGCTGTTTTAGAATAAATGATTTTGTTCATTTCTTAATGTTTCTTGAACGTGAATAAATGCCTTTCTTGAAAATGAGTAAATGCCTTTCTTGAAAATGAGTAAATGTCCTTCTTGAACATGAACAAATGTTAATTATTGTACATGAAAAATAAAACATCCCTTGAAAATAAGTTCTAGCCTGTCTTTCACAGAAAAAAGAAAAAAAAAAAAAAAATTAATTTAAAACCGGGTCTTATTTTCGGGAATACACTGTATATATACTGACGGATAAGTAAAAGACAATGGCGCTGCAGCTAGCATTCAAAGCAAACCTTTTCCAAAGCAGTTGGTGCCAATACCACTAGTCTTTATGGTGAATTGGAATTAATTCATATGGCCTTGTGACAACTTTGTTGTCATAAGATATCCTTCTTCAAAACCGTCGATTTATGTTTCATAGTTTCAGGTTCTTGTAGGCAAAAATTTTTGACTGAAAATGTATTTATTAGTGCCGACATCTTTTGAATACTCTTACCGACTCAACAGTATTGCAGTGGATGCCAGCTCATTGTGGATCACAGGAAAATGGCAAAGAAAGGAAAGACTGTTCTTCCCAAAACTAAAAATTCTTATGAACTTTCATTCTGCTATCAGACTGATGAATATGGAATTCATTAGGATTCATGTCTCAGATGTGGGTATAAAAGCTAGAGAAAAGGCTTAGGCTTCTTGGAAAAGAGATATGATATTCAGATTCTCTTCGTGCTATGGCTGTGGCATTATTCCATCTTTTGAGAAAACATAATTACCTTAATGCCCGTTTCTTTTACAACAGACTCAGAAGTTCTCGATGCGTTCTCTTCGTGATTCTGGACAATCCATGGACACTTAAATACGTGTTCCAGATTTGATAGTTTGATTCTGTCATTCAAAAACATTGGGCTAGAGGCTTAAGTGCTAAAAGCCAGGCATTGTAACTAAATAATACAGAATAGTTTTCCTCAATCATCCAGTTATTACTGAATTGCTCACAGACTGAGTCATGAGCCGTATAGTTGTTTAAAATATCAACTGAGCTTATGGAGTAATTCAACTTTTCTGAATTGCGACATGTATTATTATTTAGCTCAGCCATTCAGCTGTTTCTGAACTTCACATTACGAGACACCTCATTTTTTCTGAAGAGTCCATATGCCTTCCAGAATTATTCAGCCATACATGAACAAACCCAAAGACTTTCAGTTATGGGCTCATGAACTACCCATATACTTTCAGCTACTATTACTGAAATTCACATAAACCTTTCTCACTCAGACACTTATTCCTGAACTGCTTATACACCCTTTTGAGTTATCTTGCTACTCTCGAAGTATCCACAATTCTTTCTGCGTCATTCAGCCGCTCCATTGCTCCATAGGTTTTGAAAAGTCTAAGCACAGTTCAGGATTGGACGGAACCTATAGTACCGCTATATAAAAATGTCTTTTCAGTCCATGGTAGCTTTTTTCAAGGCATGTAAGAGATTTCGTTTTCTAAATAAGTCATATATAACTGATCCAAACCAAAATGGAGTAAAACTTGACCATATTGATTCCCATACCGTTTTCTAATGGATAGGATCGTCTCGCTCGAGAAAGTCACGAACAATTGACTTATCCACTGAAAAAATGCATCGATGATAAAGACAGCCGATAAGTAATGAATAACAAATTTCCAGAAAATTTTCTAAATTTTTCGGTGGAAATTTTACGGGCTTTCTGATTTCCCACCCCTATAGCACTAGGAGTAGGACACAGATAAAACAAGTATGTTATTTTCTGTATTACATTTGGTATCTGGAAGTGTGGTGTTTATTATATCAGTCAGAATGAATTATTACGCGAAAAAGAAATATCATGAATATAGTTCGACCGTCTCAAGCGCAACCCTGGTTGGCATTCTGCCAAAGCACATAGACTCGCCAAAAGGGGCGGTATTACTTGCTGCGACATGAAAGGTCTTCTCTTCTCCGGAAAGAGGTATGCTGGAGGGAGAGAAAGTCCTCATCTTTCCACCCTATTTTGATAATAATTCGGTCCGAATGGCGTATGTGTGTTTGCGCTCATGGTCGCGGATGACGCTGTTGAATTATACTAATACTGCTTTCAAACGGTAACTACTTTGTAATATTTTAGAATTAAAAAAAAAAAAAAAAGAAGGATGCTATTAGTGTACCACAAATAATCAATATTTATAATTAAAAATTAAATAATAAATTAAATAATTACTAAATGAAAAATTAAAAAACTTCACATGTTAAATAATAAAAAAATGTCTTATATAATATGCATTAGTTAAAAATATTTAAAAACTGCCCTTTAAATTTATATAATCTTATGTTAAACGCAAAAATGATCTAAATTTCTTATTACTAAAATGCAGTAAAACACAAAAAGCACCCGGATAAGCACTAATATGATAAAAGTCACATGTACAGCATTCACCTACTATCAATATCTCTATTAAAATCAAGTCTTAATTACAAGCTTGCACAAATCATATAAAAGGAAACTTACAAATTTTATAAAAGGAAACTTACATAAGCATTCTAGACCATTAGCAAAATATGAAAAACCTGCCAAATAATTCTCCATTTAGCACATAATGGTAGTTTTAATTTTCTTAAAAATAGTTTTCAGTGATTTTTTTTTTTTTTAAATTTTACATCATTTTACAAAAGATAATAAATTTCATACACTACTGTTGGCTTATTTATTTTTAATCCCTGCTTATATTTAATAGTTTTTGGGATTAAGACCTTTTTTTAAGGGAAAGCAACATAGTTATAAACTACTTGTATTTTGGAGTACAGGAAAAAAATCTTAAGAATCTGCAACAGTTATAGTGCCCCAAAGTCACTGTGTTTTTAAAGTTTCATGTTATTTAATTAGTATTAACTGTTTTTATAGCTAATATTTAAATTATTTAAAATTAAGCAGTTAAAATACTAAAAATATTAATTAATTCAATGATTTAAATAATTCTTTTAACTGGCTTTATTTTATTATCAAATCAATTAAGTGTTCAACAGTAAATGCTTTGGTAAAATCAATACACTTCAGTCATATATTGGATTTTGAATCTTCATTTAAAAAATTAATAAATAAATTTTCCTTTTATTTTCATGGCAGTGTTTTTTAATCAAAAAATTTTCATTCTATCATATTTATGTTACTCAGTCTTAAGTCTTAAAATTTTAGTTTTTCTTATTAAATGAGTGTTCACAATCTTATTAAATGAGTTTTCCCATCATAACAAAAGACAAATAAGTTGTTATAGCATCTTTAAAGGCTATAGCGATTTGAAACAACAATTTGTACTGTAATAAAGAATCACTACAAAATTATTCATATTATATTTTCATATTTATGTTGCATTTTCATATTTAATATAAACAGCCTAAAATTTGAAAGATGCAAAGAACATTTCCCTAAAAATATTAATAGACATCAGGCTGATTGCTTCGTTATTTTAGACTTGATTAAAATTTGCATCCTCTACTCAAAAATGCACTAATTTCACTCTTGCAGTGTGAAATGTGCGAGTCCATAAATAAAGAGAAATTTATTTGTTTTTTTAAAAAGAAATGGTTACCAGTGATTCTAAGTGCCATGGCATGCAAGATATATTTCCCTTACACTGAATTCTGATTTTGGATTTGATTCTTAAATACATAAATTACAATAGCCAGCTGACACCACAGCTAAAATGAAATGAAATATATGAAAAGACACAGAATGGCAACAACTTTCTATTTTTACAAGGTATAGTTTCCAGCGAATATAAATTCTTTGCCTATTGAAAACATTAATGTATATTTTCAGGCATTAAAAAGAGAAGTCTGTATATTTTATATTAGAATGATATTCTTCAGAAAAATTCAACATTTAAAAAAATATTCATGAGAAACAAATCTTAAGATTTCCTCACCAGTATTATTTTTCCTTTCCAAAAAATACTCAACATAAGATACATACATTTATAGCTAAAAAAAAGAAAAGACTTCTCTTGGAATATAAAAAAATTGTCCTCTGGCAATATAGATAATA